AAATTTGTATGAACCGTCTGGTGTAATAACGGCAGTCTTTGGCTTATTATCTGGATTCATGGGCACTTGCCAATACCCAGAGCGTAGATCTAGGGAAGAAAAGAACTCTGCGCCTTGTAAAGAGTCGAGGGCGTCATGGATCCGAGGCAAAGGATAAACATCTTTTTGTGTTATTTTCTTTAGACGATAATCTATGCAAAAGCGTATTGTGCCCTCCTTAGCAGCGCTGTGACTGTCAAAAAATGGCCGAAACTTGTCAAGTAGACTCAAAAGCTCACACCTCTGTTGTGGGTTTAGGCCTTCGTCAATGACACGGTTGAAAATGTCGGCTGTGGAAGGGCCATTCATAGAACTACAGGAGAGGGAGCTGACTTCCGATGATCCATCAGTAACGTCAAGTGTAGCGATGGCTTCGAATGATTCTATTGAGCCGATACACTCACCCCGAAGCAGCATAATCGTGAATGGGAACGGATTCCCCACAGGCACGTCGATTGCACCACCTTGAAGAGTAACGATTGATTGATTGATTGATATGTGGGGTTTAACGTCCCAAAACCACTATATGATTATGAGAGACGCCGTAGTGGAGGGCTCCGGAAATTTAGACCACCTGGGGTTCTTTAACGTGCACCCAAATCTGAGCACACGGGCCTACAACATTTCCGCCTCCATCGGAAATGCAGCCGCCGCAGCCGGGATTCGAACCCGCGCCCTGCGGGTCAGCAGCCGAGTACCTTAGCCACTAGACCACCGCGGCGGGGCTGAAGAGTAACGAGAGCACTTGAGAGCGGTGATAGGTGGCGAGGAACGAAAGCAGTGGAAGGTGTGAAGAATGTGGTAGCATCGACGACGGCGGAACACAACACAGGTGTGGACACAGTAGCGTGCGGAGGGATCTGGGTGTCGTCACTAATGACCCACTCTGCGTAGGAAGGGCGATCGTCCGCAGGTAGAGCATGACCAAGTAAGGCGTTGTCACATTTCGAATTGAACGGCAAACTTTTTCACCGATGACAGAAATGGCGGCACCAGTATCAATAAGGGCAAGTACGGGCACACCTTCAAGAACGGCATCAATTACACTCGGTGGCGAACGAAGAGGGCTTGTGCTTTGCAACGAGGATGCAGTTCTTGCCTTGGGGACTGAGTCATTTAGTTTTCCGCGTCGATTGTAGGGGGGCGTCGGCGCATCGGGGAGGGCGAACGACGACGTGGAGAAGGAGATTGGCGATCAGAAGCTGGTCAGTGGCTTGGTCGAGGAGGGTGCAATTTGGGGTCTGGAGTGTAGGGAGCATACGTCTGGTCGTACTCATACGAACGTGGGTTTCCACGTGAGTGGTGTGGGTGGCGGCGGCACAGACGTGCGACGTGTCAGGGTAGACCACACGAAAAGCAGATCGGTTGGTTGTCGGCAGTGCGCCACGAATTAAGGACTCGGTGGACTGGAGGTCGTGGCGGCTGAACGGTATAAACAGGAGCAGGCAGTGGAGGCGGCACTCAAAATGTCTGTGGTCGAGATCATGCTGCTGCTTCGGCGTACATCAATGGGGCATTGACTGGTGGCACCAGCTACGAAGGAAGGACCTCAGACCCTTGGTCTTGTATAATAGTCCGTAGTGTAGGGCTAAGCGGCGCACTGCGCTCCGGTACACAGGAAATGAGCGAGAGTTGGCGAGAAACTTCTTCGCGCACAAAATCTTTGATCTGCAAAAAAAGGACGAGATCTTGCGAGGGAGTTAAAGCGGACATAAATTCTTGATGTGGGACAGCACGGCGGGTGACGAGACGTTGCCGGCGGAGCTCATAGTAGCTTTGGCAGAGCTCGGTAACTTGGGCGACAGTAGCAGGGCTTTTTGAAATAAGCATCTAGAATGCGTCTTCGTCGATACCCTTAAAAATATGCTTGATGCGATTCACCTCAGCCATGTTCGCATCGACGCGTTTGCACAAGTCAATGATGTCCTCTATGTAACTGGTTAAATTCTCACCAGGTAGTTGTGATCTTGACTGAAGGCGTCTCTCCGCACGAAGTTTGCAGACAGCAGGACGACCGAAGACTTCGCTGAACTTTGTCTTGAATGCTGTCCAGGTTGGAACGTCGGTTTTATGGTTCCGAAGTCACAAGTGGGCAATGCCACTGAGGTAAATGCCGACGGTGGCCAGTCTCGTGGCTTCGTCTCATTTGTTCAAGACACTCACGAGTTCGTAGGTAGCTAGCCAGTCGTCGATGTCATGGTCATCAGTGCCACTGAATATGGGAGGGTCTCGCTGATGGACCGCGCCAGAGCACACGATGGCCTGGGGAACCATAAGTGGAGGGCTTGTGGCAGATGTAGTGGTCATGGCGGCAGGTCGAGTCTGGCTTTGCAACTCCAGGATTGTGAGAAGACTTAGCAAACTCCACCAAATATAATAATGAACTGGGACAACCAGAACTGTTATTTGAGACCAGGTAGGATCGTAGGCCTAGCCAGCGAAAGCAGCAACGTCTGAGCCCAGCTTCTCATGCTTTGCACTGACGATGTGGTTGCCGAGCTTTGCATGACCCACTACCCCTTCATTACAAGACAGACAGACAGACAGACAGACAGACAGACAGGCAGGCAGTCAAGGCAGGCAGGCGGGCAGGCAGGCGGGCAGGCAGGCAGATAGATAGATAAATACCAAGACGGAAGCGGTGCCTACGGGAGGGGGAACAACAACTGTCTCCTGGTCACAAAGGACGCGAAGACACTAGTCTTCCCAGGAGTGAAATTATGGTGCCTTACAGGAGAGAATAGCTGCACAGGGATCGAGCCAAGCTACACTGACGGAAGGTGCACTTGCGCCTTTGCAGTGACAACAAGGACAGTGAAAACGGCAGCAATGACGCTCGGGCCAATTTTATTGATAGCAGGTCAGCTCAGCATTGCAAGTACGTACTCGGAGGTGCTTCCCCTCGACCCATCAACACCTGAGGCCGACCATTCTGGGAACGAGGGTGAAAGGGAGCAGAGAGGCAGCGGCCAACAAACGAGTGGCCGAGAGGCGATGGTTCTTTGAGGAGGTGGCGAGGAAGAATTCGAGCCCGGTACTTACAACGACAGCCGACTGGGAATAGAGGAGAGAGTTGTTCCTGCATTCCGACTAGACTGCAAGAATGTTTGAATGGAAAGACAGAGAATAAAATCGGGGGTGCAGCGACAGTTTGGGGGATAAAGAGAAACTAACAAACATCTCTATGCATATGATGTCGAAGCGGTCGTTTCCTCAAGATGAAAGTTCTCGTCTTTGGCTTTCCTTGGAGGCAGCAGCAAATGTCATGCTACGAACGAGGCGAGTGGAAGAAACAAACATAACAGCGGCAAACTTGCCAGAGTTGTGAACACAATGAAAGCCAAGGAAAATGTTTGTGCGTGGAATTTCCTGCAGTGTAAACACTGGTTAAGTTTTGTGGTGGCGGTAACACAAAGACTTGGATTAATCCTTGCGTTGAATTTGATGCACGGCCATGAGACAAAACAGCGAGAGGCTGACCAGTAAGAGAAGCGTTGTCAATTGAGCCTGCTTTTATATATGTGGTAATTTCACTACTCACTGAGACTACTGCACGTTCACGCTTAATGAGCCACAAGGCCGCATCGACGGTTACCTGCTCATGTATAGCGCTGCCCGACAAGTGCTCGACCTAACAACAAACACTTCCTAACACAAACACAGGGACGGGAATGAAAACAGACTGTCTAGTACACAGGGGCCTACAAGTGCCACCTACTGAATGATACCGCTATGCATGCCGAGCTCCTTGGCATATGGGGAGCGGTTGCAACCCTCCGATACATTTTACAAAAACTCCTTCGTGTCTTCACCGACTCGCCCGCTGCTTACTCGGAAATACTTCGCCCAGCCTCTGAGGATGCTACAGCTGCTGCCACTCAAAGTATCATTCGTAGGCATAAAAAGACAGGCCGATATTAATTATTTAGATGCCGGGGCATACGGGTGTGCCCGGAATCAATACGACGACAAACGCCGCTGCTGCTTCTGCAGGTGGGTCGACCAATCTTTTTCTGCTCTCACCCCTCAGGGTAAAAACCCGTATGAGTTCTTAAGTAAAATGGCTCCCTCGGTAGCCATAATGCACTACGTGTGCACTTGCCTACGTCATGCTTGTAAAGAACGAATTGAGCAGGTTACCCCACCAGTCCTCTTCCAGCAAGTGTTCACTTTCGCGCTCTCAAAATGTCTTCATTATTAAGGTCTACACAAATTCTGCACACATGCCAGACTCTTTAGCAATATGGTGACAACCAGACAATGTGACAGTGACGTGCAATCACTGCGGGCTGCCCTGCTGAGCAGACCTTCACCACTTACTATGTCAGTGTTCTGCATTTGATAAAGGGCGATTGGCCATACAAGCTTTGCAGTCCACAAATATCGTGCAGCACTCCTTACAAACCCAGACAAGCAGTTATTTGTGCAATATGGAAGTCAGAGCGGCCTTATCAGGGTCGTTTAGAAGGTCCGACAAACCACAGTACTGAGCACATACCGTCTCAGTACAAGTGATTATGAATACAATAAGTGCATAACCTATGACACCGGGAAATATTAGTACAGTACTGAGCACATACCATATCAGTACCAGTGATTATGAATACAATAAGTGCATAACCTATGACACCGGGAAATATTAGTATAGTTTGAAAGCCCCGCTTATTCCTAAAGATCACACGCCTCAATTTTTTTTTAATAAAGCACTTTCTATGCATACATTGTAGGCTGGCCAAGGTAAGTTGTAACGTAAATGACCACGATCAACGAGTGCGCCTCGAAGCCTATACACTTCGAAGCGCGAGGATTGTGTGGAACATTTAGCCTAACTTAACACAAGCAAAGCACTTAATCATGCACCAGAGGCATGAAGACGAGAGTAGTGCCCACTCAATGCATGAAAAGCACCACTGCGTAGTGTGGCATATTCACTCGAACGATGAAAAAAGTGCTGCACTGACCCGAAGCCTCCGGCACCGAGCAGCTTAATGGAGAGGAAGTCCTTCATTTTGGGGATGTATGTCCAGAAGGGTGCGATCTCGGCCATGTTCAGCTTTTCTGTTTTAGACGCAATGGTGTCGCCGACAGCCATCCAGTCGGTGGGCGGCACATCTGACACCTTCTCCAGTGACGTAGCCAGCTCGCCCACTATGATGGTTAGCTTGCGAATGTTCTCGCCAAGCTCTTTAGCAATATCCGGCGCCTTCTTGTAAGCCAGGTCGTGCAGTCCTGCATTATTCCGGCAAGCAGTTTAAACAGTGAAGCTTGTCAGGAAAATAAAATATGCCAACAACCAAAAAGAGCATCACCGCCCAAGCACTTCTTTACAAATGATTGGTTAACTGTAGCGAACGCTAAAATGTGCAGCCCCTAGTATTCAGCAGCGATTTCGACCTGATAGCTACCGAAATCGCAGTTATTGATTACATGCTCGTGCTTCTTAATGAGATTGGACACATGCTTTGCTTGGGTTTACCACAGTGTTTATTTCACATGCCGTACGTTGTGCCTCGCATGATCGCAGTCATGGAGTAGTTTAATGACTGTTTAAATGCATTTTCAGTGCGTTAATCACTGTGGTTGTTACCGAACCACAGGCAGTCATAGACGTCACAGCCAAAGCCAAAGTGCCACTACAGAAACTCCTGCCCAAACCAGGCGTTCACCGCAATCATCCCGTTGACGCTGCCACACCTGCAATGGCACTTGGGCATGGCGTTTATGCAACCATTTGACCCCGTGAGTTAACTCGGCGGTATGATTTCCAGCATGCAATCCTTTGCGATTTAGCGTGGCTTGAAAAGCTGCCAGACCATCGGTACACAACTGTTGCCAGCACCCAGACCTGCTTTTGTGCCCGAAATACACCATCAGCCCAGTACATGGCCTCCGAGTGGACACTGCAGCACTGCCGTGATGATGTCACCTTGTGTTCCTCTGTTTGTACAGCTTTGGCCGAATGAATCTTCTTGAACCGAGCTGTCTCTCTTGTCATCACTGAAACAGGCAACGATTGTGCCAGGTAAGGCAGTGCGCAGCTTCCTTCAGGGGACAGCTGTCACTGTGCAGCCAGCTTGGAGCTGGCGACGACATAGACGTACCAGCCAGGGGGGCAAGTAGGGCGCGCTGGCCCCCATTTTCAGGAAAGTTAGGGGGCTGAGCCCCACTACTTTCGACAGTGGTCGCCTTTGGCTGCACGCTGGGGAAACCAACAAATAGGGTCGAGTCTATGACTAGAAGTCAGACTTGAAGGAGATACTCTTCCGGAAAAAGGTACCGTAAAAGTGCTAGGTGTTGAGGGGCAAGCTAATCAGAGATGTCTGCACACACTCAAGATACTCAAAACAGCTGTAGGACTGCGGTTGGAATTGGTTGCGCGGCAGTTAATTTACTTTCATTTACTTTGTGTTGTAAGCTTGGGAAAGCACGTCAGCTGTTGGCAGGCAGCATTGCTTTAGTTTGATTCGGTCGAAGCGTGTCCAACCAGATTTGCTGAGAATGCAAACAGTACGGAACCAGCATAGTATCTCGCGTAGTTCTGCAGCGCCTGAGACTGCCGAGCACTTCAAGTTCCTGTTAACTTAGGAAAAAGAAACCTTCCCCCACTTGGGCAACAAAAGGGGCGGAATTATAAATGTCACTGTGACGGCCCCCTAATTGTCTCCCGGCGCTGGCAGCTGACGCATCGATGGGCCTCTTCCGAGAGCCAGCGCATCATAGTGACTCCTCACTTTGGTTCGGCTTATAGCACGGCCGTGTACTGTTTGTGTGCCCTGCAAAATCTGTGGTGCGCCTTGCTAAACCGCAATGATTGCCGCGAACCTTTCGTTCAATCTGGTGAGGTAGCTTTTGGAAAAGAAGCGGGCTCGCGACAGGTTGGCACCTGGGGTGCCTATAGTTGAAACAGCACGTCTTCGACTGCTACCACATTTATCCTGGCAAATGAGCTCGTAAGTAGAACCACGTGTAGTCAGCTGGCGGTTCCTCTTACAGTGCAAAAAGGACAGGGCGGATTATTGCCTCGCCATCATTAAGTTAACATGTTACAGAAAAGCGTTCTGTGGCCGCAATCGCCCTAGTAGCTCTAAGTCTAGATAATTGTGCGCTGTGGAGCTTGCCCATGGTTTTATGACTTTCAATAGTTTTGTGTTGTTTACATTTTGGTTGATGCGTTATTTGGGGAGAGGGCACGAGCCTCCACAGTGCACAAAAGTTGCGTCCTTGTGACGGTGTTTTTGATTCGCCTAGTGTACTGTCCTACCAGTCGACAAGCAGACGACAATTCGCCGAGAGTTATGTAAGGGTGAAGCACCGAGGGGATAAAAAGAGGCCCCGAAATTCCGCCAAATGTTCTGAACCAGGCTTGTGGTATTAGGTACCATCGGCTTTGCCGAATCTCGTAGGGTCGCCCTACAATAGATTGTTCATTTCCAAAATGCTTTTCTTTTCTTTTTTTGTAATCGTTGATGTACTTATGTAACTTGCATACAGTCAGTAAATACAAGTTTTTCTCAGCCTACTAGAACTTCTCCTGCATTTCTGCTTTATCTTTGAGCGACCAGCAAGCCAATCGCCACTATTGGAATAGCGGCAACACGTTTCGTCTCCCACTTTGCTATATCACCGTGGGTGGTGCGTCTCGGGTGCCAAGTGGTGAGAGTTGGTTTCTACAACATTGAAAAGAACCTGTATTTTACTACAGTGCTACAACAGATCTCATGTATGATTTCACGTATAACACCTAACCGTGAGGGCATGAGAGAGCAGGACGCCCCAGATTGGTCAAAAGTCTCATCATCAGCCGTATTACATACTCACTTCCGTATCATACTATAAGCATGAAAAAGAAAGAAAAAGCAACTAAATCAAACCAAATATTAAGAATGACCTAGAAAACAGCCGCTTTTCCAAAATTTCAAAGCGGCTATTGAGTATTTGTAGGAAGCGCCTGAATTCGCCTATTTGGCTCGACCGGCTATAACCACCGATTAAAAAGTTCATTGTGTTAATTTCTATAAGTACTGCCGTAAATGTTTACACTCATTTAAAGATGCCTTCTGCCACAGGAAGGCAATGTTGCAATTAGCATGCAGATACCTCCTTTCTGTAGTTTTTAAAAAATACTGACACACTCCTTGAAACACCCTGTATAAGAAAACACTGCTAATGTGATCAGGGACTTGCCTGCTCGAATTAGACGTTCCCCGGCAATTCCAAAAAGTTTGAGGTATTATTCAGCATGTGAATGCGCTGACTATGTGCATGCACTGCATTTTTATTCTTTAAGTTCTCGAATTCAAATTGCCCGCATCTGTGGTCGCCGTCCCTAGGTAGATACAAATCAAGACTCATACCGCAGCCCATGTTATACGGGTATGCAACACACATGACTGAAGGAAAGTTTCATGATGTACACGACACGATTTTCACGTTAATTATGTTGCGGTCGGACACTTATGTTCATCATAACTTCATGCCCCCTACGCCAATTTTGGACTATACTAAGGTAATGTGGCAACTACGAAAGCACTAAGACGTAGGGAACCAGATAGGTAGAAAAGTAGATAAAGATCAAACTACCTCTGGTTCCCTAAGAATTGCTTTGCATTTAAAAAATTTGCATTGAAAAAAATTCATTGTATGATAAAATATATAATGTCGGGGAGGCCGCCATCAACATAGTTGTATTCATTCGGAAATTTATGAGGTAATGTATAAAAATGGCGCTTGTAATACTACTGCGTGCATAAAGGCGCGTTTACACTAGAGCGACACGACACCGATTTCAGTCTGCAGGCTGTTTTTAGGAATGTCTTTTCTTTTGTCATCGGCCTATGTACACTGCAAGGACACAAACACTCCCCAGGTGGTCTCTCGAAAAGCTCGCTCGCACCTTGTAGCATTCACAGTATTTCGTTGGCCAAATCTGTAGTCACATTGGAAGCACACGTAGCGACCCCAACTTAACTTGCACACCTGCACCTCATTTTCAGCCATGCTCCCCGCTCTGCCATTGTCCCTCTCCAGCTAATCGGTGCAGCCCCCGCCATAATCCATGGTAATGAGGAACGGGGTTGGGGATACACAAAAGGGTAGCGAAGAAAAGACTTCCATTGGGCGTTCTAGCTGCTTATTCAGACACTGCGGAAGCCCCAGAGAGGGCATTGTTAACTCCCCTAAGATTTGAAGCGAAGACATGGGGTGAATTTCCGCTCAGCCGCCGATCTCCTGAAGACACGCTGACGACAGGTCTGTGGATGCGCTTTGCTGGGGTTTTCGGTCTCTTATCATGTACACCATTGGGTGACGATGATGTTGTGCCACGTGTATCTGGGCTACCGCACACCCACTTGGAGCACAGTGGCGTCCCAGGCAGCCTCAAATAAAAGCTGGACGGAGCCTATAAAAGCAAGCACCGACGTTTCAAGCTTCAGTGGACACGGCAGCACTGCCGTGATGATGTCACTTTACGTTCCTCTTATTTTTACAGGAAGGTGACGAAAAATATGGCTTTCTTAGCAATTGTGTTTGCTTGATAGTACTGCCGTGTCCTCGTAATGTCCTCATTTGTTTGAAACATTGCTATTCAATTGTGTGCCTGCTGCTGAAGTTATCGGGTGATGTTAAGGAAAACATTGGGCTTGATACTGTCACAGGCTAAGTAGATGCCTGAGGATGACAACGACGAAGTGCTGAGGGGAACGTGCTCGGACTGCAGCAGCGTTGTACGCATTCGCTCACCAGTATATTAATCGTGTATACTTTATTCCCCGTAACATCATTGGTGGAAGGTGCGGGGTACAACTCGCTATACAGCCCCACGAGCTGGATCTTCGCAGCGGACGGCGCATTGCAACTACCACAATGACTGACCAGGCTACTCAATGTCAACAAATCCGTCAGCTCTGCAACCGATCGTTGTGGTGCAATCTCGTGACCCAGGCCCATTCAACGGCACAAGTGGCATAGACGTCAATGACTGGCTGGTTCTATATGAGCGTGTCAGCAGCAGCAACCATTGGGATACGACGCTTATGTTGGCGAACATCATCTTCTACTTGTATGGCACGGCAAAACTCTGGTACGGGACACATCAAGAAGAGTTGACTAGCTGGGACGTCTGTAAGCAGAAATTGGGCTATCTATTCAGGAAACCCTTCGGACGTCAAGTGGCCACAGAGAAAGAGCTTGCGACTCGTGCCCAGACATCCACAGAGCCGTACATC